ATTTATTTATATAAATTTTAAATATAATTTATATATTCAAATATAATATTTATTTATATAAAAAATTATTAAAAATTTTAATTATATATAATAAACACATGCATACATTGTACATATTAAAATCAATATTAATACTAATTACGATTATCTTGCATAATAATATTTTTAGAATTTTTATTTGAAGGAATTCTTTTAAATTAATTTATATATTTATATAACATATATATAATTTATTATAAATTTTAATTATATATAACAAAAAAATAGCATATGAAATTAAAATAATAATACCGTGCTTAATTCAGCATGTGCATAACGTAAATGTTATAAACAACATGATTTTCTTTTAAAATATTTAACTTACGACAATCATTACTTAAGTTAAAATATTTACATTATTATATAGACATTTATTTTCATAAAATAGCATTTTTTTATGTAAAAAAATTAAATATTATTTTATTATTTTAAAAATTATTTTTAATAAATATTTTTTAAAATAAAAAACTAATAAATATTCTTCGTATACACAAATTAAAATTCAATTATGATCGCAAGCACTATATACATTATTTATTTATTTCTTACAAAAAATATACTGTATTTAGTTACTCATATAATATATTAATTTATTTATTTTATAAAATAAGAATATTTTAATCTCGCAGTAAAAAAAGAAACTAGTATTATAATAATTTAATAAAACTAATTATTTTATTAAGATGTACCATTAGTATTTCAAGAGTTTAATGATTATATAATATTTTATTTTGTCCATAATTAGATATTATTGGTAGTACAATTTTATTATTTATTTATTATAAAAATTGAAATTTACTATAAATAATAGTTTATAATTTGATAATAATATTATTCCATTGAATAATAGTATAGTCTATATATGAAAAAAAGAAGAAAAAAAAGTAAAGAAAAAGAGAATCTTAAGAAAAGGGAAAATATAGAGGAAAGGCGCATGCGTTTGTTGATGGGTAAATTTGAAAGGTGCCAATCTCGCATGATTCTAATCCTTAACTCCCCCAATGGGATACCAACGTTTGACTTTGGGCACTCCCGCAGCGTGTGTGTGACCTAAGAATGGAAATCCAAGAGAGAGAAAACCACCATAAATGATGAGAGAGAGAGAACCCAGGAGGCTGTATATGTCATTTCCGCCACGTGCGGCGGGCAACGGCGGTGCACCGGTGAGGCCAATCCGGCGTCTCATTTAAGGCTGAACTGGGGCACACCCTGGTGCTGTGGCTGTACCACTCTATAGCAGCGTAAGAGAGAGAAAATGAGGGTTGTAGTTAGTGCAGTAGTGTAGTGCAGTGAGTGTGTAGATAGATAGATAGTATTAGATAGCACCCTTTAAGTCCCTTCCTTTCTTTCTCCACAAACGCTTTTAAAGCCCCTCCATCAGTTACGCTTTCTTTTCACTTTGTCACACCATACATATAATAAAATTAAATTATATTATATTATACCATATTTAAAAGGGTACAAGCCTGTTCATTCATTCATTCATACCACAACACATAACCATAGAGGTGCAAGCAAGAGTTTTTAGAGAGAGAGAGAGAGAGGAAGGTGTGTGTGTGTGTGTGGTGTTGGTGAGTACTTGGTGCCTGTTTTTTCTCTCTTGATTATAAGATCATCATCATCATCGTCTTTTCTATTCATCCCTTGAGATTTGCCATAACTCACTCTTCTCTCTCTCTCACTCCCAAATCATGCCGCTATCTTTGATTGTCACAGCCGTTTCAGAATAATATATAATTAATAGGATTATATGTTGTTTTGATTGCTGATGTTATGCTTTTTTTTTTTTTTTTTTTTTTTTTTTTTTCTTTTAGCTGATAAGTATCCCTTTTGCCTTATGTCTTTCTTGTTAACTAAAGTGTTTCTTTTTTTGCGCCTGTTCCCACCAAAAAAATAAGGTGTGGTCTATTGCTGATTCAAAGCGACAAGGATATCTTGGTTTCACTGAATTTATCATTGCTATGCAGGTACAAATATGTTATGCTTTTTTTTTTTTTTTTTTCATTTGCTTTGCTTCTCATAATAATAGCCACATAGCCTTGTAGCCATACCCATCAAAATCACATCACAAAAGTTTCTCTCTTTTTTCACACCCACCTTCCAAACTCCCTTCTTCTTTTTTCTTGTTCTTGTATCTCAAGCTTTGTTTCTTCTGTCTTTTTTTTGTTTTGTATCTCGATGGTTTTGGTGTCATGGGAGTAGTTGTTTCAGTGCACACAACTGGGTGGTCGTGTGAGTGATCAAGGGAGAGAGACACAAAGAAGTGAGAGAGAGAGAGAAAAAAAAAATGGAGTATGGAAGTGGGTCTCCTGGTGATCACCATCATCACCATGATGGTTCTTCTGACTCCCAAAGAAGGAAGAAACGTTACCACCGTCACACAGCTAACCAGATTCAGAGGCTTGAATCGTAAGACTTCATTTCCATTTATGTCTTTTGTTGGTGCTATTGTTTCCTTGTTTTATTATGTGATGGTTTCTTTTCTCGTGTTCCTTTTTTTCTCTTCATGAATAGTTCAAAATTTTCTTTTCTGCACCCTTCTAATTTGGTGGTCCCTCTCTCTTTCTTCTTTCTCCGTGTGTTGGTCTGGTGTTTTCAGGATGTTCAAGGAGTGTCCACATCCAGATGAGAAGCAGAGACTGCAATTGAGTAGGGAGTTAGGCTTGGCGCCTAGACAGATCAAATTTTGGTTCCAGAACAGGAGGACCCAGATGAAGGTTCTATTTCATCTTTTATTTTATTTTCTTTTTTAATTGGGGTCTAGAAAGTATATTAGTGTTGTTTACCATTTTTTTTATGTTTGTGTTTGTGTGTTTTTCATTTATGATTATGGGACTTTGTGTGTGTTGTTTAATCATTTTCTTTCCTTGCTTTTTTGGTTAATTGAACAATTCAGGCTCAGCATGAGAGAGCGGATAATTGTGCACTCCGAGCAGAGAATGACAAGATTCGTTGTGAGAACATAGCCATAAGGGAGGCCTTGAAAAATGTTATCTGCCCCTCTTGTGGTGGTCCTCCTATCAATGAGGATTGTTACTTTGATGAGCAAAAGTTGAGATTGGAGAATGCTCAACTCAAAGAGGAGGTAATGATGCAAATTGCAAAGGCTATCTCATTCATTACTTCCTTACTTTGGATCTATGAATTTATGTTTTTTTTTTTGTTTTTTTTAATTTTCTTGTCTATTGAAAAATTGTGTTAATTGCAGCTTGATAGAGTATCCAGCATTGCCGCTAAGTACATTGGAAGGCCAATTTCTCAACTCCCACCTGTGCAGCCTATTCATATATCTTCACTTGACTTGTCAATGGGGAATTTTGGGAGCCAAGGGTTCGGGGGCCCTTCTCTTGATCTTGATCTTCTTCCTGGGAGTTCTTCATCAGCTATGCCAAATGTGCCTCCTTACCAACCTGCTTGTCTTTCAGACATGGATAAGTCTCTCATGTCCGACATCGCCTCAAATGCCATGGAAGAAATGATCAGGCTATTGCAAACAAATGAGCCCTTGTGGATGAAAGCTGCTGATGGGAGGGATGTCCTTGATCTTGATAACTACGAAAGAATGTTTCCCAAGGCTAATAGTCACTTGAAGAACCCCAATGTTCATGTCGAAGCTTCTAGAGATTCTGGAGTTGTGATTATGAATAGCTTAACTTTGGTTGACATGTTTATGGATCCGGTAAGAAGTTCTTAACAATCTTTTCTTTTTTAGTTCTAGATTGGAGATAATTGGAATAAATCAATTTCCTAAATTGTTCAAATGTCTTGATTGATTTTGCAGAACAAGTGGATGGAGCTATTTCCTACTATTGTCACAATGGCAAGGACAATTGAAGTTATATCTTCTGGAATGATGGGTGGTCACAGTGGTTCTTTGCAATTGGTATGTTGGAAAATTTTCCACTTTATTTTCTTTGAACTTTCATTCCCGTTTTTGTTTCGTCTTTGATTTTTTTATTTTTTTTTGAGTCAGATGTATGAAGAGTTGCAAGTGCTTTCTCCACTTGTTTCTACTAGAGAGTTCTATTTCCTGCGTTACTGTCAGCAAATTGAGCAAGGCTTATGGGCAATAGTAGATGTTTCATATGATTTTCCTCAAGATAACCAATTTGCTCCTCAGTTTCGATCTCATCGACTTCCTTCCGGTGTCTTCATCCAAGACATGCCTAATGGATATTCCAAGGTAAACTTATTATATACTAAATATGTTTGGATACAATTTAAGAGTGGTTTTTAAGATCTTATCTACCGAAAAGGGCTCTTTAATTTGATATACAATGTTGGTCACTCTTCTATGTTGTCATGTAGGTTACTTGGATTGAGCATGTAGAGGTTGAAGATAAAACTCCAGTTCATAGGCTCTACAGGAATCTTATTTATAGTGGCATTGCATTTGGAGCACAAAGATGGCTAACTACACTTCAGAGGATGTGTGAGAGGATTGCTTGTCTAATGGTGACAGGCAATTCGACCCGCGATCTTGGAGGAGGTATGAAATTGCATCGCGTTGCACAAGTCATGTTTAATTCTCTTGCTATGATCTGAACTTGGTATTTCAAAATTTTCAGTGATTCCCTCTCCTGAGGGCAAGAGGAGCATGATGAAACTTGCACAAAGGATGGTCACCAATTTTTGCGCAAGCATTAGTGCATCATCTGGCCACAGATGGACCACACTCTCTGGAATGAACGAGATTGGAGTCAGAGTCACTGTGCACAAGAGCACAGACCCTGGCCAACCTAATGGTGTGGTGCTGAGTGCAGCCACCACCATTTGGCTCCCCATTCCTCCACAAACAGTGTTCAATTTCTTCAAGGATGAAAAGAAAAGACCTCAGGTTGTGTATTTATGACATGTTTCACTTAATTGTCTTTTCTAATGTTGGGACCTTATAATTTTGACATTGTCTTTTGTTTGGCTTAGTGGGATGTTCTTTCCAATGGTAATGCCATGCAAGAGGTTGCTCATATAGCAAATGGTCCACACCCTGGTAACTGCATATCTGTGCTTCGAGTAAGAATTTCTTTCTCCATGTTCTAATCCAATTTTGATTTAAATATATTGTCAATCCACATATTTTTTAACTTAGTCCCTATTAAGTATTACCTGTTATTAGTCCTTGAAAGTTACAAATGGTAACTAAAAATGCATTATTTCCATTAAATATGAAGACTAAAAACAAGTAGAATTTAAAGAATTCAAATGAAAAAAAATGACATCAATTGGAGACAATCAAAAGTATACTTAATTTAGAGTTTAATAATGCACGTAGTTCAAGAGTTTTTATACCATCAACCTGTCAGATTTTTTTTTTGTATATATGAAATAGTCTTTGGTGTATGACTTTTTAAGGTATAGTTATTATAAAAGCCAAGAAATTTATCATACATCACGTTTTGTAATTTATATGTTACATATTAACTTACAATCTTTCTACCAATTCCACTTAATTCCACAGGCTTTCAACACAAGTCAAAACAATATGCTGTTCCTCCAGGAGAGTTGTGTGGACTCCTCAGGATCTCTAGTGGTGTATTGTCCAGTTGATCTTCCAGCCATCAACATAGCAATGAGTGGTGAAGACCCTTCATACATCCCCCTCCTTCCCTCAGGCTTCACCATTTCCCCTGATGGGCAAGGTGAGCAAGATGGAGCAGGAGCCTCAACCAGCACAAGCACCAGCAGGGCCATGGGGGGCTCTGGGGGCTCACTCATCACTGTTGCATTCCAAATCCTGGTGAGTAGCCTGCCATCTGCCAAGCTCAATATGGAGTCAGTGGCGACGGTTAATAGCCTCATCGGCAACACTGTCCAACAAATAAAGTCTGCCTTGAATTGTCCTGGTTCCTGATGATGATGATGAAACCACCTTATGTGTGCGTGTGTAGTAGTGCTATACCTTTCCTTTCCCTTCCTTAAATATGCTTATCAGAAAATGGCTCAGACCTGAGGCTCTTTGTGCTGGTGCCATAATCAATGTGTGGGAGGAGAAGTGTTTTGGGTTAGTTGGGACTTCAATGCCCTCTCATCAAGACCACAAGGCTCATTATTTACTGCTCCAGCTGATGGTAGAGCTGTATTTTGCTTCAAGGGATCAACTTTCATTACCTTTCACACCAACTACCAATTTTTATTATTTTATTTTATTTTGGTCTCAAGGATAAGTTAAGTAAGCTGCATCTTTCTTTAAAAAAAACTATGATTTTGCTATTTGGCTAGCTTGCTTTGCAACAAGAGGTAGTAGTCATCGTAGTAACGACAATAGTAATAGTAATAGTAATAGCAGCAGTAGTAGTTATTGTCTTCGACAAGGGAGTCAAGAACGCACCATATATGCACTTGGGGGGTGTTTTTCTTCTCTACATTCCCAGATTAGCTAGCACTCCATGAAAAATGTGTATGGTTCGGGCATTGACTTCCTGTGAAGGGACTTGATTATTATTATTATTATTCATGACTTATTGTTGTTCACCTTTTGTTGTAATAAATCTATTTGCGTATTTTTGTTTTTTGTTTCATCATAACAACTATGAGAAAATGTTTGAAGTTGAGAGAGAGAGAGAGAGAGGAAAATGTGCATGAATTAAGAAGTTGGTCAGGGATTTATGCAAGGAGGGGATGTGGGGGCAGGCAGATATTGACAGTTTGGATACCTTTTTGTGGCTTGACATCATTAATGGGCTCCATGCATTTTCAAGAACTTTGAATAAAAGATGAAATATTTCTGCATTTGGGTTGACAACTTGACGTGCAGCGGGGATAAATGAAACATCATATCTATTCACCTTCATTCAATGCATCAATTTTTTCAAGTCTTTTATTCTCTCTACGAGTTTTTGTAAAATTCATGTTCAAGTGAAGCGATTTATTGCCAACTTATTTTTTTACATAAGAAAATGCAAGTTAATAGTAAAACAAAGTACGTATAATTTTTGTGATTCAACACAAGTTATTTCAAGGTGTTTTAACCTCAAATCAATTTTGGACGCAAAATTAATTTTTCAACCTAATGTCACATTTATAAATATTTGTTTAAAATCACTTTAATTGATAATCAATGAGAATTCAAATACACTAGTCTTACGTTCAAGTGAAGTCGAATTTAATTTTTTTTTAAGGTTTTGAATTTGAATTTTGTTCATTATATTTTTAACTTAAAAAAATGTTAGATTTTCATCTTTTCATGGAAACAATTTTGAAGCAACTTGATCCAAACTAAAGTATTTTAGCATTATTAGATTTGTCACATATTAAGTATTTATATATTTTGATACTTGTTTAGTCGTCATAATTTTATCTTTGAAAAAATAATGAATTAATAGATTGTTTATAAATGATTTTTTGGTTTCACTCTATAATGTATTGTTTATTTTTGTGGCCATTGTTGCAATTTTGTCCATGAAAAGACATTGTATTTAGTTAAATGATGGGGTGCTTAGCGATATTCACTACAAGAAAAAGTCAAATTTCCCACGGATTATTTCGCTTTCACTATAACCAAATTTATTATTAATGACAATTATTTAAAAGTAATAATTTAATTGTCGCTATTTAATTATATAATAAAAATATTAATAGTTAATATATAATAATCACTAAAAATGTATTTATATTACACTAAAGTTTACTATTAGCGATAATTATTTATTAAAAAAATTAGTCACACATCGATTAAAGATAAGATAATTAAATAGTATATAAGTGAGTAATATATTACCTTATAAGTTGATTTTATAGGGTTGAGTTGGACTCAATTCACTATAATAAATTAGTATCAAATCACTCACTATTACCAAGTTCAATAGTGCTATAAAACAATTAGAGAGCAACTTTCACCTTATAAATGTCACATCTCTTAAAGGATAAGACAATTAAAAAATATATAAATAGAAGACAACCCTCATCTTACAAATCTTACATCGACTAGAGATAAAAAAAATATATATAAGTTATGAATTTAGAAAAGAAAATTATAGGAATAAATTATTTAAAGTTTTACTAGCAAAAGATAAAAGTCACTAAATGGATGGAAAGAAGACAATTGAAAAAATAACTTTTAATAGCCTTTAAAATAACTACTAGAATTGCCACTAAAAAATTAAGTTTCCGACAATTTAGTAGGTCTTTACCAGCATTTTATATAAATGACGGTAAAAGTATTAGCGACATTGGATACACCAGCTATTATTTAAATGCTGGTAAAAAAAATAATAGCCATTTATATAGCTGCTAAAGAATAAATTAATTGCCACAAAAACCTAATTTTGGTGTAGTGTTTGTTGAGTTGTTGCACTATTAGCTCCTAGGAGAAGCAAGTAGGTGCAATACTTGAGGCTGTAATTTCCTTTTCCTCCTTTTGGTTTATTCATCTCTTTATATATATATATATATATATACCATAGAAGAACATCACATCATCATTTCATTTTTGACAACCCAGCAACGAAGCATCACAATATACAATACAAATCAACATAACCCAACTCTGACTCAACACAGCAACACATTTCATCACAGTTCAACATAACATATGAATAACACAATCAACTCAACACATCATATGCTCAACACAGTAATTATATGTGTCATCATGCATTTTAACTAGGAGATCTCCTACAATACAAAGCAACCAGTTTAAGTGACTTGATTCTACCAAATCGACAACACAAGGTGATCTTTTGGGATTTGTTAGGTCAACAACAATTTGGATACAAATCCACAACACAACAACACAAATTCTTGGATGTTACCACTTAAACAAGGAAGTATACTACTAATGTCAGGATATAATAGTAAGGTACGGGCCTACCACGACATTAACTAGCTTAACCAAGCCTCTTATGGGTTTAGTCCACTAACTATCCTTCAAATACTACAACCTTTCGATACACGATTAGGAACTAAGTTTTCAACTTTGTACTTTACTCAGCTGGTCACTTGTAATCAATATAGTTTAACTTGACCCTTATACTATGGTCATTTCATATATGTGTGTCGTGACCTTATCCACACACGGTACCAACAAAGTCCTAAAGGAGAAACAACACAATATCTACTTCAAGGGCCAACTTCACAAGAAGAATTTTTAATAAATTGGGTTCTCGAAGCATCACAACATAATATCTACACAATGGGATATACAACTTTCAAAAACATCTCCTTTAATCCTAAGTAGTCATCACAGCTTAATAACACAACAACTTTTCACTTATTCAACACAACAACGAAATCAACATACAACTCCACATCTCACAACTCAATCATCACTACTCATATTCAACTTTTTACTCATCATACATCTCAATGACACATCAACATTATTCATATAGAATCCCAACACAGCTACACAACTTCACAGCATACTACTCGACTCAATTTTCAACTAGCAACTAACAACATAATTACCAACATACAACTTATCAACATTCAACACATAAAGTTCCTTATCATACAACAACATCTCTACAACTTATTCATCATCATATTTAACCATAAAATAACTCAAACAACAAGCTTTCAACATACAATTCATTCATCAAGCAACCAACCAACTGAATTAGAAAAGAAATTTATTTGACTAAGTCTCCAAACTCAACGCATAACTCACACTCAACCTTAGCTTCCCAACAACACTTCTAGGTTCTTGCACTAAGTGTGAAAACTCACGCTTAGTGTCCCAAACTCATAAATTCATACATGTAGAAGAACAACCCAATCTCCAAATCCTCTCAGCCTATGCAATAATCAAGGCATACAACCCTGAAATCTTCCAACTCTAACAACATACAACTCAAAAATTAAAAAAAAACAAAACAAAACAAAAAAAAACATGCATCAACAACAACTCAAAGAAATCATCAACATTTTAACCTTTCATCAAGAATATCAAAACCTTAATTTTCAACATGCAACGCCTTTGAATCCATCCCCACAACTATATATTTCAAAAATTCTATCAACATTAAACTTTTGAATTTATTCAAAAGCCTAATAAGTGAAACAAAAAAACTCTGAGCTACTTTGAGGTAGAAGAAGAAAAGGAGAAGGAATTGAACTCCGAGCTCCAACAATCTGAGCTCCGTACTTACTCCGCAAGATTATTAGCTCCTAATTACTTTGAATCACCACTAGCTACAAAGTCTCAAAGAAGAAGAAAATATGGTCTTCAAGTATGAATCTTCCTTTAAAAATCTAAGAAGAATAAAAATAAGTGTTTAGGTTATTTCCCTTTTAAGTTATATCTTATAGTATGATATAGATATTGCCCTCATGGCTGTAATCAGTTCTACATTAAGAACGATCCTAATACCCACATAGACGGAGAAACCATGATGGTCATAAAAAATATCCCCAGTAGCTGAATAACTAGGATGACCAAGAGTTGCACTATTAGTATTACATTTGACAAATCTAATTTTACCAAGTACATTCTCAATTACCGTTTTTTGTAACTACAAAAAAAAAAAAAAGAGAGAGTCTAAATTAAACAAATAATTTCTTTCACAAGTAAACCATTTTTTGTAACTAAAAAAATAAAAAATCTAATTTAAACAATCAAATTCTTAATCACTAAAATTATCCTAATAATAAAAAATTAAAATAATATATACAAAATCTTAAACTCAAATTTGAGTATTATCTTTATAATTTTGATAAATAACAAAAATCGAATTCTTTCGCATATAAAGTTGAAATTTTAAAAGCTAACTTAATTTATCTCATTTATTTATAGCTCTGCTGCTGATGATAATAAGTCTATACCTCTTGTTCATCATTTTTTAAAAATTAATATTAATATTACTTTGAAAAAAGAAAAGCTTACTAACCTGAACTTCACGATGACATGATATTCAGATTAATTTTACCTTATGCATAGTAGCTTCTACGTGTAAGTACGTTAATCTATATTAGATTTAAAGGATGGTGATAGCTCGATAGCTCGATTGGGCATTAGTATTATATGACCCGTTTGCATACATACATTTAAAGAAAAAAAATACTCGTATATTTACCTTTATATTTGCGAGGTAACAACTTTATTTCTCATCTTTATATTCAATGGACACTCACATTAATTAAACATGACTTTAAATAATTCAAATATAAGTCATAATCAAACAACATTAAAAATAGAAAAAAAAAATTTAAATATAAATTATAATCATTTAATCAATAATAAAATTAAAAACAGATTAGTTAATTTAGATTTGAATGGACTTAAGTCTAATATCTCATATTTACTTGTTATAATTTTATTTTTTTTAAGGTTTGGCACTTGATTTATTTAAAAGTCGTAAAAGTCTATTTATGTAATTTGTTTTATACAAAACTTATAAATAAGTCTATATGTCTAAGTATATTGCAAACCTTGTCCATTGTTCAAGTGCTTTTGCTAGCAATCCTACATTGATCACCTAAGTTATTATTTTTTTTATACAATTATATTGTACTAAGGTACCTATGACTTCTAG